TATATATATATATATGAAAATAAGAACTATTTAATTATATTTTATTCTCATTTAGTTTTCATAAAATTTCACACAAACAACATAAGTGATGATAATTATAACTAAAGGGAAAAATTGATAAAAGTTGCATTCTTATAAAGTTATGAAGTGTGTAATTCTTTACTTAATTCAATGAAAATTAATCTTTCCTAATTGATTAATGTTTTCTCTTTCTACCATATCCTTAATTAGAAAATTTTCATGCTTTTTTTTTTCATGTTAGTTATTATTTTTTATGTTGTATATTTTAATTACACTATCAAAATATTCAATTAGAATCAAAATTATAATGCAATTTTGCAATTGTTTTATACTTCGAGGTTGAATTACTTCCATATGTATCTGATAAAATTTATATATTTAAAACTTAACCTTATGCCTCCCCTCATTAAGGCTTTGGTTGGATTCAGATTCGGGCATCGCACAATTCAGGGGATACTAAATGATGGTTGGAATGCTCTTATGCGCTATTATTTGAATAACTTTTGTGATGGAACAAAACAGGTTTCAGAATCTCATCTCATTATAACTTCTGTGATGGAATAACTTCTCTTGATTTAAAAAAATCTAGTTTTATCTGTAACTAACTTACCCTGTACATGATATTTTGTTTAAAGGATGCAATTGATCTCCTGCAAGGACACTATATAGTTTCTATGAACCGAGATAAGCCTCCTTCTTCTCAGAACCAAGGCCTTGAAGCTATTATTGTGAGTCAAATTTAGATACTAATATTTTCTAGTCTGAAGTTTTTGGTTTTGCAATAGTTATTAGAAAGTTCATAGTATAAATACATATTAACTTGTGCGACATATGGGTAATTTCATTCTAATTATACTTTAAATTAGTTGAAATTTAAGCCTTCTGGAGACAGCCTACATCCCTCAACATACTTAAGATTATATGCACCGAAAAATTATTCACAATATGTTATTTAAAGAATAAATAAATACATGAAAGGATTTCCTAGATTATTAAGTTCCAATACTCCTTAAAACTATATGTACCATGTAAATTCTAATACACCCCTCAAGCTGAAGCATACCATAAGAACATCTACCACTTCATCATTAGACTTGATAAACGAATGTCATTTTACCTAAGATATTAAGGAAATGGTTTCAGGTGATTTGTATAAATAAGAAACAGAAAATAAATACACAGTCCTATACTCCTATTTACAATCTCTCAATGATAATAGGATATAAATACAGAATCTTCATGATTATGGGAGATAAAAATCAAAACAGAGTCAGGAGATATAAATGAGAAGATAATCAAGGATCTGGATTTGTTACAATTTGAATTCAAATTATAGATAATTCCTAATTAGTTCCAACAATATTTTCATAGATGAAATGATAATTGATCTCAGTGTACTTGATTCGTCCAGAGAAGATTCAGTTATAAGCAATATGAAGTTTACTTGATTATCACAAATAACTTCATGGATCTAATCTTACAAAATATGAACTGCTTCAAGTGTTATTTCAAGAATACGAGTTCAGATGTATGAGTCATATCTCAATACTCTATACCTCAACACTCAATCTAGCATTAACATTTAGCTTCTTGCTTTTCCATAAAATAGGTTTCCTCTATAAAGATAAAATATCAAAGAAGTGAATTTTCTATCACAAGGAGATTCTGCCCGGTCAACATCAATATAAGCAACTATATTTCTTTGTCTTTTATTAGCATATACTAACCCCTTTTCAAGGGAGCCCTTAATATACGTCAGAATTTTGATTACAGTTTCCCACAAAATATGCCTAGTCTAGTCATAGAGAGATAATTAAGTTTTCCCACAAATCTCTGGTATCTACTTAGGTTGAAAAGGTCTCTCTAATTTGATAGGAGTTGAACATTCAGGTCCAGTCCAGTAGATTACCAAGTGAAACATAGAGCAATAAAAATACTTTGTTTTGGGAAAATCCTAAGTGAAACATGCGTTTTGGGGGGTTTTGTGAGTGAAGCCCGTAATCTCGCAATACCAAAGTAAACTCACGAGATTGCTCGAGATTACTAAAAAACGAGATTACTAACGAGTTATACAGGTATAGCTGACCAAACTTGTAATCTCGTATGAGTTAACAAGTTATCACTCAAGATCGATAACCATGCTTAGGATATTGAATACATGTTAGTAAAACCCTAAACCAAATACAAAAATATTAAAACAATTTAGAGGAAACACCATACCCATTTTTTAGTTGAGAATACTCGAGAAACACATTTATCTTTACATGGAGAAATATCATGCACGAAACACGTAAAACCAAATACAGAATACGAAACCGTATAAAGATATTTTTTAAGAAACAAGAGATAATGGTAAACTTGCATATTTATAATTGAAAGTAGCATACAACTTATTAACTTTCTGTAAGGAATAACATCATCCTAAAACATTAAAGGTGCCTTAGCATTTTAATAGATTATTAATGTTTCAATTTTCATTACTCTTTGTAACCATTTACCATTGTAATACTACGTAAATTCCAACAAGGTATGCAGAAAGCTGGGTTTCTTACTCTACATATTGTGGGATATTTTTTGGTCATAAAGTATGCAAAAAGTTGGTCCTAACTCTTCGGAATACTTGTATCATGATAGGTTTCAATTGGCCAAACTACCAACCGAAATTGTACTTATTAAAATGGAGAGTCTAACTTAATCTCGATAATTAGTTTAAGACAAGAAGATTGATTAGGTCTTATAACAATTATTTTGGCCATATTCCTTCTTGATCTAAGAATTTTTAATATTTGAAACACATAACACACATGGGCTACCAAACAATTCTCAAGCATAAATTCCACATGATACTATATACTACATGGTTTACAGTATTGACATTAAAAAGTATAACTTTGTCAAAGAGTCATAATGTGGCTGGACTAAGCGTTGCAGTATTGGCTTGTGTTGAAAGTCTAACAAGACTATTTTTCATTCCATACATTTTTTGGTATGTTGCAAATCATTATCGGGGTTGCTTGAAGAATGTCATGCATTTTAAAATATATTAACGTCCCTTTGTTTATCATTGCAGTCATTTCCTCTGGCTATGGGTCTGGTTTTGACTGGATTCTTTTCTGCAATCATGTCGTTGAGGCAAGGTGAGTTAACTATTTTTATTGTAGCTTAAAAGATACAAAGTACTCCTGAAGTTTAAACAAAAAATGATATTTTTTTTAACTGCATGTGCATGCTCACCACAAACTTTTAAGAAACTTTGTGGTTTGTAACCACCTTAATATATGTGAATTTAGGTATTTTTTCTTATATAAGTCCAAAGGCAGTATAGAATATGAGAGGAGGAGAGGCGAAGAGAGGGGCAACTGTTAAGTAATAATTATCAATTCATAAATAAAAACTTATTTTTATTGACATAAAAAAAAAATGACATTTCAGGTGACACCATATATAATTATCTCTATTTATTTTTATTATTATTGTATAGACACATAAAAAATACACCCAAAAATCAAATGAGAGAACTTTTTGTCGTTCTATTTTAAGGTCCACAGAACATTTTCTATCCTTAAATAGGTGAACTAGTTAAGATGCCGCAAGAATAGAATCCCCCCTCTCACAAGTTACATCCATGATCCTGTTAACAAAAATATAAAACATTTATAAGCTAAACTACTAATTAATACTCCTGATAATGTATAAAACATACAGTTTCATGATCCGTAATCCTAATAACTACGTATATTATAAACTTTACTATATCACATACTGTTTTTCTTTCAACATAAAATTACTTAATTGTCAATTATATTTAATAAATACCCCATCAAATACATTACAATATTTGACATCAGTTGTGTCTAAGAAATAACTCATGCTTTCTGAAACTACTGAAATGCATATTGAGAATCACGTGCTCAAACTGTAATGGCCAACTGGGCCTACTGAGAATTGCTTTGTTCTATGCTAAAGTAGGGAGGGTAAAGACTGTGTGCATTAGTTGATGACAGCTACCTAACAAATATTTTGCTTGCCACACAAACGGATTTGGTGCATTATTAGATAAAGATTGAATTACTCATGTTTTAAGTGTCTTTTAGTCTAATTTGCTAAGAATAAAATCCAAACTGTCTAATCTTTCATCTAATAGAATCCGTTCCATTTCATTTCATCTCTTTCCATCAATCCAAACATGGCCTACAGGTATGTAACTTGTGAATCCACAAAACCCAGATGCAAAGCCCTTGGAATCAGGGTTGTAATTTTTTTCAGGCCAGGGGTGGCTGAAAAATGGCAAAACACAACTCTTTCTGATTATGACAAAAATGAAATAGATGGTATATTGGTGGACTCATGGAAACAATAGTAATTAGCACTCTGCATTCATTTTCTTAGTGATAAGGGCAAAATAGCGAATATGGGATAATATTGGTACCACATTCCCTTTTGTTCAACCAATAAAATTGAGGAATGTTCATTCTTGCTTCCTATTTCCATCAACTCCTTTGTTTTTAATCCATGGAACTCTAACCAGATGAAGGCTTCAGTTATACAAACAAGAGCCAAGACTTCATTAAATGAGAGTAAAATCTTTCACTAAAATTTTATGGTAAAATGAGCACGTTTGGTTCAACTTATTTTAAAAAGAAATATTTTGTTCGCAGAATTTTTGGTGAGCTTTGAAAAAAAAAAAATCTTTACTCCATAAAAAGCTTGCTCAAACATGCACAATATTATGATTTGTGTATGATGTCTTTTAAGTGAACCGGCAGGTTTAATGAAGTAACTTAAAGTGTTTAGATATCTTGTGACCTACCACTGCAAAACTAATTGTCTGAGGTTTCTAGATAATTAAATCATAAACGAGATCTGCGAATTTTCTATACAGGTGTATGTGCAGGGTAAGAATTTGTTAAAAAAATCTCATTACAACTTTAAGCTGTTACAATCCAAGTGATATTTTGATGAACTAGTACTATATTGTCTGACATGTCTTTTAAGTGACAATCAGTAATTCATTCCTGCAGTTAGATTTGATTTTCGGCACTTGTTCTTCTCGCTAATATGGGCAAGCATTAGTGTTGGTATAGCAGCATTTGTGAAGGCCAATGGTCGGATTTTCTGTAACAGACCTCAGTTACACAAGCCGCGGTGTTGATTTCTATATGCAGATCACTTTTGGCAATTAACAGGCCTCATCTGCTGGAGCCTTACTTCTACACTAAGATGAATTCAATCTTTGCACAAGGTTCCTAGCACACAGCTTATTATAGTATCTATTCTTATATACTAATTTTGAAGTTATTATAGCTTCCAAAATTCATTCATATCCCATTACAGTGATTGGTGCATTGTCGGGATTTCTTGCTCTGCCTTCCCTTTTGTATATGCAGGTTTTATTTGTGTCTTGTATAACATTGAAGCACTCCAAGTTCTTGGATATCTCATATTCAGTTGATTCGTTCTGTATGGTTTTAAGAGGATTTATTTCTTTTACATTTTGTTTCATGTTGTATCTAAGTAACCCATTCAGTAAATGATTGGAAATTTAGCCAAAAGGAGTGGAAACTATCAAGCAAAGTGAGATTCACATCATTTAGCCAATGATTGGAAATTCGCTGGCTATAATTTCAACGTATTTGTTACTTTTAAGTTGAACATATGCTCATAGCCTTTAAAACGTGTTTCCAAACATACCTTTAAGTGATTTCTACAAAAATTTCACCAAACAGCAAAGGGTAATTGTGTTAAAAGAGTGTGTTGGTATTAGTAACATTTTTTTTCAACCATGTATAGTTCTACCAGTTGCTTGTTACTACAAAATTGAGATCCAGGCATCCAACATTTCAGAAATCAAATAAATTGATAGGGAAATCCATGTCCTAGTGTAGACTCTGAAGTATGTACAGTTAAGAGTCGGTAATAATAATGAGGTTGCTGATATGATACTAAATCATTACTTCATTTCAGTGCTAAAATAATAATGAAACAAACAGACGAGAAAATGGAAGAGTAACCACATGAATAGCATCTTAGGAATACAATACAAATTACTGACTAGTGAGAACAAATTCGAACGAGGACAACAAAACCTACAGGTGGTAATTTTTCAAACAAAAAAGGATGTTACCCTTTCGAACTGGGTTATTATTAGGTTCATGACCATTTAAGCAACTTCAAAATTCACAGCATATCTAGATTGTGGCCATGCAAAATAGTTCATGAGGCGTGATGAGTTGCATATGGAGGCCAGTAAAGATGAAACTCAATCTTGTAGACAACAGTAAGACCCTTAAGATCAACCGGAGAAGAAGTGACATAGCCTTGCACAAACATGAAATCTTCAGTGCCTCCTACCACTGGAAGGTTCGAGGGTTTGATATTATTTATTGCACCAACAACGGAAATAGAGCCCTTGTGGTGCTTCAAACGCAGAGTTAGCTTTGCAATTGAAATGCTTTGAAGCCCGTCAACACTAGATGTGATGGAAGTTCCTTCTGAAATCCCAACTAGTTTGGAGGATCTATTGGCTGCAACAGTCAAAGGGTCCTGAAAGACAAATAAGGTTCCAAAGGGGGTTGTAGTTTGAGAGATTCCTGCTCCTCCTTTTATACTAATACCCTCCACTATGATATATCCGGTTTTGTTTATGGTCTCATGTTGAAACAGCGAGAAGTGAAGGGATTTGAGGTGGTGGTGGTGGTGGTGAGAGCTTGCAGAAGTGGCTTTAAATTGGATTATGGCCAAAAGTAAAATAGCAAGAACATAGTTATGTAAATAGGACGCCATAACTACGTTGGTTGGTTGTGATTACTGATTAGAGTGCAAAGAAGGGTGATATCCCATTTCATTATATACAAGACAAGAGTTGTTGGTTTCTTTATTTTTCTCTTCTATTTTATGTTTTGTGGTACAAAACTTGGTTCACATTACCGTGTGAAAACTGTCGATGACTTGCGGTTGATAGAGTCAATGAAAACAGAAGCTAAGTTATTGGAGGTCGTTCAGTCTTCTATTCATTGTATTAGATCCTGTAAGTATTTGACTGAAAAATTCTGTGCGCCTCTAGAAGGAATATAGAAACTGGAAAGACACCAAAGTCCTTTGCTGCATAATCTTTCCCT